GCTGAACCTTCACTTCACACTATGTACCCCCCTGCTTTTAGGGGAAGGAGTTTTGTTTTGTTTACAGAAGACACATACAACTGGGCATAGTGTCCTCTCTTGGCAGCTTTGTTGTCTCGAAATTGTGTACAGTGTCAGCAGAAGCTGGAACTCTTACCTCCACCTGACCATATGGATGACCAGGATGAGCCAAGAGACAGGGTGTTTTGAATTTCTTTTGGACTTTTTCTGGTTTTGTTGAACTCTTTAAACACTTGGCAGGATTAAAATACAAAGTTATGTATAGTTAGGTAAAGGCATTTTGTCGGAAAGCACCTTTTCTCTCCACAATTAAGTAAGGCAGCTTAGTTCTTTAGTTTCCTGGAAAATGATATAATCCAATGCCAGGTTCTACCAGTCTATACGATACTCTCAGTAGCCTTCACATCTAACACTTGGGGTTTTGGCTGGGGAACAGTAAGTTGAATACCAACCAGAACAAGAAATTTCAGTGCAATACGGAACCAAGGTCGGGCTTCTGCTGCTAATATTTAAGCCATGACCTTCAGGTGGACTTGTCCCTCACGGACAAATACCTCCTAAGGAATAACAAACTTTTTTATTTTGCCTGGAAAACAAAAAGGTGACGTAGTTGGCGGAGGTGTTCACTTGCAAAACCGTGGCTCAGAGCTGTCCTTTTAATGAGAGTCAAGCTGCCCTCTTGAAGCTTCGGCCTGCGCTGGCTGGCTTTGTACGCTTGAACAGGCTCACAGCATTGCTCGGGTGCAAGAGCAGCCCTTAACCTACAGCTCAGCAAAACACTTCTGCTCCCCCTGGTGCGCTTTTTCCTCTCATGCTCTTACTATCCCTTTCGTGAAACGTCAGAAGCTGGGAGCTGAGGTGATCTAACGTAGCAGGTAGCTGCTGCAGGCTGAGGCCGTCACACTATGAAAACGCGAATAGTTTAGATCATTTGTAGGTGCTACAACTGCTTAAAGACTTTAGGGGTAAGCTTTTTTCAAAGTAACTTTGTATTTTGTAGCTGATCTTTGTGTTTCTGTGGCTGCAATCTGCTCTTTGTATGAAATCAGTGGTTTTGCTAGAAATTTTTTTCTCCTTTAAAAAGGCAGATAAGAGCGGATCTGAAATAATAACTCACCTAGACACTTGTCCAGCTTGATTCCATTAGTAGCTCTACATGACTGAGAACTTAACCCCAGCCACACGTGCTGTTGTTAAATTATCTTAAGACCCTTGCTGTTAGCCTGTTCCTACTGAAAGGAGAGGAGCTGCGTTAGGTCAGTGTTGATCTCCTCGGAAACTGCTGAGCTGCCGTGACACTTGATGCTGTTTTGGAATGAAGCTGTCTTTATTTAAAAGCCACTTCACATAAAGATAGGTAGATGTGGCAATGGAGGGTCTTTAGTTGTTGTAGAACTATCTGGATAGTAATCTGCTGCAAAAATTGTGATAGAATATATTCTAAAACAATGTTCTATAACAAAGGAAAAAGCATAAAATTATGTGATAGGATTAAGTGTGACCTTAATGCCTTTTGCTTCACTCCTTATTTCCTTAATTATTTTCTTCTTAAATTTAGGACTAAGTTTAGGTTAGTCATCTGGCTTAAAAAATAAAAAAGATCCCTTCTAAACCGTTACTCAAGTAAGGGAGAAGAATAATTCCCCCTACTTGTAACAGCAGTTTCTTTTTAGGTTTGGAGAGCGACAGTCTTGTTCACTAAATCAAGTCTGACGTAGGGAACACTTCTTAGGGTGGCTGGTGGTCTGTTCTGCGTAACAGGCACGAGCTGGCCATGCCTTCCTCCCCCCTCCAAACGCTGGCTTCTGGAGCTACCTTCTGGGCATCCTGCGAATGTAAGCCCTTAAAATTAATGCTCACCCCTTTTAAATGATGCCTGTGGGATCTGCACCTGCCTGGATGTTGTATCCCTATCCAATTCAGAATTTCTGCTGTTCCTGTACATCTGAAATAGATTAGCACTATCCAGATGGGAAGGATTCAGAAGGCGCTATTTTCCCTGTAATAGGCTATACATAAAACACACTTAAAGGTTATGTAATTTCCTAACATAGTAATTATATATTGAGCTAAATAATAGAGAAGCAAAGAGGGTTTTTTTGATCTAATTGCCTGGCTGCTCCAGTCTCGCATGCAAACTGCAGGCGTCTGAGGAAATTGGGCAACCAGCTGCAACAGCTAACAAAAGGCAGAAAATTCTCTCCGAGCTGGCACTCCATCCTCGGCTTGCGTTTCGGGACTGAATCCACACCCCGGCGCGGCGTGCTCGCCTTGCTTGGTGGTAGCGTGGATCACAGCCTTCACCTGAACACGCCGGTGCCGTTCCCAGCACCCACGGCAGTTTCTCCCCCTGCTTCCTCTGCCGTGCATCGCCCCGTGTTCGCCGCAGACAGCAGGAGCGGGAGGCTGAGGTCACCCTGCGAATAATCACCTTCCCGAGACGTTACCTGGAGCGGTCCTGTGAGGTCCTACATGTGATGGAGTTGGGACAAGATACGCGGATGATCCCAGGTGCTCCTGGCAGAAGGCAGCTCACAGACCTCTTGTGTCAGGCTCCTTGCACCTTCTCTCTTAACCTTTTCATTCCCAGAGCTTCCCAGGCTCCAGTCTGGTGGCTGCTGCTGTGATACACACCGGAGCACTCCAGTCCTTCGCTCACCTGCGGCTCCGCTGTATTTATTCACCTATTGAATACTTAGCGGGGGGTACCTGCTGGAGACTGCCCCAGGGAGTCCCTGCCACCCCCTTTGCGGGTTACCGCTGTCTTTCGGAGCTGTGGCAGCGCCCGGCTCCGGCTCTTCAGCCTGATGCTGCCTGCGCTCTTGCTGACGCCCCTGCTGCTGCGCTTTTGCACATAGCTGGTTGTGTGATAAGCTGGACACCCAGGTCCCCCCCCTTCCCCAGACTCTGGGGGCAATCAGTGCAGACACTCTGCCATTTACCAAAAAAAAAAGAAAAGAAAAGGGAACAGGAACTAACTTGCACAGTTTTCATAAGGGAATATGTACCTTCAATATCTTGATTGTATTGATCCAACTCTTGAATGTGGCGACCGGTTGAAGTGCGCTGTTGTCCATGTTGCAGATGACGTAACTTAAATTGCACTGTACAGCGTATTGGCGTCTAAGTGTGCTTTGCTAAAGCCGTGGAAAGTGCTGCCGTGTGCGGGGTCCTGTACGAGGGGAAAATGTCTGTACTAGCACTCCCTTTTTTGTAACTGTGTGGCATTGACTAGCACCGTGCGATGGGCGCTGTGTGTCTGTTAACCAGTACGCGTTCCAGGGACGAGCACACGTCTGTCCAGATGGCTGGAACTGCTGATTGGACTTGGCTGCTGCATCAATCTTGATTTTTTTTTTTTTTTAAAACTAAAAA